CTTGAATTTTTCGTCCGAAGGGCGAAGACAGCGACAGCTTCGAGGTTCGTTGTGTATGTTTCAACTCTAGTGCTCGTTTGTAATTAATTGAAACTGTTTTGTTCAGACGCATGGTAAACCCGCTGTACTCGGCCGTCCACAAGAGACGTCTGTGGATTGATGACGTCTCCAGCGATGAGAACACGCCGCCCAACACTACGTCGATCCCCTACGAGGACTCAAGCTTCTCATGCAGCTACACCGGGACTGTGACATCATTGAGGAGCCCTCCAGAGCCAAGAAATCCCAGGAAAAGCCCTCCAAGTGAGACGTCGACGGAGCCACCGACTTCTCCGGTGCGATTCGCACCTCGTAGCCTGACAACATCGTCTCCGGTGCTCTTGGAGACGGCACCACGGTCGCCTCTCCGCCCAAGCGCGAACAAGTCACTGAAGGCCAAGCGGAGTGGACGGGGTATACGTCGAGAAGCTGTCGCGCCTTACTCGAGGGCGCATTCGAAACGGCGTGCGGAGTCCAGTGGCGCCAAGCTGTGTGCTACCACTGCGTCGGAGAGACTACACTCGATGCTGAAGACCGCTCGGCCTGACGGCTGCTGGACCTGCAACACAGCAGAAAACGTTAAGTAAAATAAAAATCGTTTGAAATTCCATACACGTACTCTCAGGTTCTTTCCGTCGATAAATCCGAAGGTGTGCTGCAGGAGGGGCTCCCGAGCTTCAACCAGCTTAGCCATTTCGGCTTGACTAGATGGAGAAGGCCAAGAGATCCTTGCTGGTGCATATCCTTTAAGTGCAGAAGCCAATGATTCCTCTGCGCGACGTAGTGTCCGTGACAGTGTGCTTGGGGGGACACCAAATACCAAGCACAGCGTTGTCTGCTCCATAGAACCCACGTAGAAGGAAAGTAAAAGACCCAGCAATTGGTGATGGTGTCGTAGCTTGGGTGGGCGGCCACGTGTAGTGTGGCGTGGAATGAAGTAAAATCTGCTGAACCTCCGCAGGAGCTGGTTGAACGCAGGTCTACAGACATGTAGCGATTAGTTAACGTGTGCAGTTTTAACAACACTAGATAGGGTCTCACCTGGTTAAACTGGTAGCATTGAGGAAGTTCACGTTGTTGCCATACTTGTACAGGATCATCCAAGCCGATTCGCTCGGCGCGTCAAGGCACTTTGTCGTGAGGTAGTGCCGGCTCCTCATGGCGATTCTCCACGCATCCGCCATCAGCACGTCAAATACTACACGTCGCACGTCGTTCAACTCCTCTTCTTGCTTCAGAACCTCTGCACAGAGAACCAGCGTCAGGTCTACGTCGTCTGTGGCCTCGCTCGCCATCGTGGTGTTCACTTGCGCTCGACACGGGCCAATTTGAAAGTGAGCAAAATTCGAAGGGTGCAATTTCGCGTAGTGTCCGGCACAAAGTGTCGGGTACAGTTTTACAAAGTGTTATTTTTTATTGTAGCTTTTGATGTAGGACAGTAAGAACCGGACAAAACAAGCAGTCAAAATACATTTGTGGTAGAGGTTTCGAGAAGTAAGCCGTCATATATCTTTTTAAACTCTGACTTATCTGCTGCAGATAAGTCGGTCGTTTAAGTGATAATTGGCAGGCGCCCAATGGTTGGGGCCTCAGAGGCCGTGATTTTGGTTTTGTGGATTTCACACTAACATGATGTGTACACACTATGAGCGAGCTTCGTCGTCTGATGACAGCAAAGCTGTCAGCATTGGCCGCAGTGTTTGTTTAAGGGCTGAAGTCACGATATTGAGTGGAAGTTACGAAATGTATGTGAGTTTTTCGTAATTACTCACTGCCAAGTGCTCAGAACAACTCCGAAGCTGTCACTGGTCAAAACCCAGATGATTTACCTGACTATGATTTGAACTGTGGCGTTAATGCCACGGGACGGTACTGGTAGGGCAAGGTAATTTGTTTTTACAGATTACGACCTTTTACATGCTATTTGTGTCGAGCGCCATTCCTCACAGTCCAGGGTCCTTGTACGGAAGAATAACCGAAGACGAGGACGGCAACTCAAGATCATCTCCGACTGGTGAACACCCTTTAGTAGCCAATACGCACCTTCAAGACGATAGCGCTGACGGTGAAAACGGTCAGCCGGCTTACGGGCCCAGATAACCTCACTATTAAGTGTGTCCCACCGGCTGCTAATACATCGAGCAAAGTCGTTGCTGACGAGATACATACGGGATACGTTCCCTTTAGCCGCTGCAAACTCGCGAAGCACTCGCTTGACACGGTTGACCAGTGTACACACTCTTTCTTTAAGCTTAACACCCTGTACAATGTTGTGAATATATTTCGAGAGCATTTCTTTTCAATACAAAGGGGATTAAAATACCGTTTAAGAGTCAGAATCGTAGTTGAGGCAATGAAACGAAGACAACAAAATAAACCTGAACGTTTTCGTAGATCCTGCAAAACTTTCCGCACCGTTGATCCCCCGTCATACATGTCTCGCGCAATTCCAAGTAGCGCCGGGTCCACAATTTTGCGAATTTCAGCATAAGCCCTGTAAGCCTGACAATTGGTTTAGTGGTTGTGACATACATTACGAGACGTACGGACGACTTGAAAATGCTTTGAGTCATCACTAGAAGGGACCATCATAACACAGACTTGAGCTATTGTATTCCACGATACGATTTTTCTTGTTTTTTTCTTTCCTGCATATAAACGAGAGTGTCAATATATTATATGTCTTAATGATATACATACCTCGGAAGCAAGGATTTCCTGAATGGGTGCACAGGTGCGAATGTAGATTGGCTTTTTTTTCTTTTGCATCACTGCTACTTGTAGGGTCGCACGTATCTGGATACAACCGAGGGTTTCCGTTTCTACAGCGTGTAGTATTCTTCTCATTAATTACAGCAATAGAAACTGCCGCTCGAATTCTGGTGCAGAAAAAAAAACAGTTTCTTAAGAGGCAATTTAGACATGGGCCACATCAGCAGCACTGTACCGAAGTGGCCGATACGTTTCTTCAATGTACTTGTCGAAAAAGACGGTCAAATCGTCCCATGTTGCGAAGGTTTACACTGCAGATCAACAAAATGCGACAAATGCTAGATGCATTCCCCGAATTTTTAATGGTGGATTCAACTTACGGTAAGAGCGTTACTACACCTCTGTCACAGTATTTCCGAATATGTCCATGTATTGGTTGGCAAACCTATTTTTTAAAAAATAAACAATTTGAAGTTCAAGTTATTTATCCATATCGCGCACGACACTTTTGGTAAAGGTTCGTTTGTTTTTCACTAATTTATTAACCGCGAAATGGCGGAGAATTTCAGGGATGTTGCTTTCGCGTTAAAAGAGACGAGCCCAGCATGGAACAAAATCGCTATTATTGTGATAAGAAGCGGCTGTAAGAACGCATGTCATAAATTTATCTAATAGCTTGAATAGTTCGGCTTAGGTTTAGGTCGATAAGGAGCTTACTGAGATAGGTGCTTTACAAAGTGCATTCCCTGACGCACGAGTGCTATTATGCCGCTTTGACGTAATGAAGGCGCTTCCGAAATGGTTGAGACAGCATCGCTACGATAATGACGTGCTCGAAACTCTTAAAGGGGTATTTCGCTTGCTAGGAATACGACAATGCTTGGAATTCTATCATATCAGCTCTTCCAGACCGAAAATTTAGTCACATTTTTGGCGTATTATGACGAGAACTAAGACAGTTATAGAGGCGATAGCTACCTTGAGTCTGTGTCTCGGTGCTCCACGCTCGCGCCATCTCTCTCAACCGACGACGCGTTGATGATTCAGACCAGAAAGGGCTGCTGGCAAGCTGTTCTAGCCAAAATCGACAGGAGCAACTGTAGTATGATGGAAGCAACGTGCGACCTCAGCACAGCCGCGTTGGAGGGTGGCCGTGTGAGTCCGAGGTGAGGCAGCTGACATTTGCTGTGTTACGCAGGTCAGTGGCCATTATTCTCATAAAAGAAAAGGGTGTCATTGTACCTGTCTTGTCGGGCCGCGGAGCTGAGCCACAGTCTCTTCATAGTGCCTGATGCTGCTTAGTGCGGCAACGGCGGCAGTGATCGAATGCATTGTCGTCGCTTGGTGACAGCATACTCGGTAAACGACTGAATTTTTAAATCGAAGGCACTAAGCGTGTAGAATATACTAACGTTTGTTATCACTTTTAATGCTGTGCAGCGCGTACTAGTTATTCTCAAGCGCATGTCCTTTGATGCGAGGCGCCATGGGTCTTTGCAGCGTCACTTCTTGATTGCACCGCGGTAAACGAGCCGCTCTCACCAAAGAGATCAATGTGACCGCGAAGGTTCAAAGCAAACAGAAGATGGATGCAGGCCGAAAACTTCAGGAAAAACCGGCCCGAGCATGATAGATGGCGGACGTTGACAGACCACCCCATCTTTGGCATTCCCTCGACTTCCATTCTGGCTGTATCCACTCGACTTCCATTCTGGCTGTATCCAGTGCGGAGACTGGGAGGCCCTCGTGCTTCCGACGCGCATCATCGTCACAGGGCCGACGTGCTGGTACGGATCGGACCCAAACGAGATCTGGAATGAGGGATTCTTGGGATTTTTCGCCTAGCATAAAGACTACGCTGAGTCTGTTGTGTGCACATTCGCTGAGGAGCCCTTTCCGCTCCATTTCACGTGCACGGCGCTAAAGACGTGCGTCAGTTACGGTTACTGTAGTGAAAGATTACACTCGTACACTTTCGAGCCGACACCACTCAAGCAAACGATCAAGCGGTAAACCCATTTTCAGTTTATGGTGGACAGTGACATCCCACTTGATTGCGGCATTGTACTGATCGACGGGGCCGTTTGTGATGGCAAACCCCGAGAGTGTATGAAACATTTGCCACCACCAGAACTTCCCCGTCAACCAAGTCTTTTGAAAGTAGGAGGTGAACGACGCCAGCTTGGACCATGCCGCTCATTCCAGCAACACACTGCTCATCTTCTTTTCATACTCGCTTGAATTCACCGTAAAGTGGAGACCATGCACACCACGATGAATCATAGCAAATACATTTGCATCGAGTCCTCTAGCCTTCTCGTACACCTGCTTTGCAACGTGAAATAATCCCATTAAGTGCACGATGTTGCAGTCAACTCCAAAAACCTTGTCAACCGACTTTTGTTGAGCCTTGTCGGCGTCTGCCATCACGTAACACACTGCAAGCGGTTTTCCCATCACTTGCATGTACACCATACGTATCGCAGAGAGTGCAGCAGCGAGCGAAGGCTGCTGTTGTGGCATCACAGCTATGGCAACCACGTGCAAAACACGCATTTTGTCGGGTATTCCAACCACAAGCACATGGTACGCAGCTTGACGCAACTTGAAGGTTGTGTCGAGGTGGAAGACAAGCGAAGTCGGGTCTCGGTCAGCCCGCTGCAATAGCTTCTTTGTGGTAACGCCGATAATGGAAGGTTATGCGTCACAGGCGTTTCCGATAACTGGACGGTCAGCACCATCGTTCTGTCCGGCCAAACCAAACGTATCATTCTCTTGCTCTCCTCCTGTAAAAGCGAATTCGAGGATTTAAGCTCTTAGCGCCAACAGAACGTCGTTGTTTCGTAGGTGATTGGCCGCGTAGTTGTGAGCGAAGCACTGCACCTTTGAAAGGGAAGGGAGAGACGTCTCGTCCAGGTTGAAGCGGCGCAAAATGCCGGTGCGGATTCGAGACGGCTTTAGGCCTTGCGCCGCCCATTCCCGCGCCACCTCTTTCATGGCCACAGTAAGCCGCGGGGGCTGGGGTGACGGGCTGGAGTGACACAAGCCCCCGTTTCTTCCACGCTGATGGGTTTGAGGTGCTGGCAGCTCAGCGTTCTGCCTCTCCATGGACAAGGAGCGTATAGCACTACGCGCTCGCACGCCTTACAGTCGCAGGCGAGGAGCCGAATTTGCATTGCGTGCGGCGCAGCATAACTACAAACGCCGCTCGAAACCAAGTGACTCTTGGTCACCTGGTAGGCCTTGAGAGACTCAAGCAACAGCTCGGCATCACTGGTTGGCATGACAGGAGCAATCATTCTTCAGGCAATTCTTGAAGACATCGTAACGAGTGGGGCGTGGGGAGGCGAGGACACGTGACGGTGGAGTGAAACAAATTTGCGAGTCTCCAGTAACTATGGCAACAACTGCATACTTTAATGGGTAGATAACGACATTTATAGCTGTACGTAATTGGATTAAGTGCTGAGGATTGATGAGTTACTGTGGCAAATAAAATAATTCTGGACAGCACAAAAATATAACTGTGCATTTAGCGTACTATCCACAAAATGACCAGTTACCCCTGCCCTGAATGGAGCACTTTCCAAATAGTTTAAGATTCGGTATAACTAGCTGAAACACAGTAAATTGTCAGCAGCTACTTTGCTAGATTAAATGGTCACCATCAATCTGTTGGTTGGTAGACAGCGCTCTGACGGAGGCGTTGGGCAAGTTTACGAAGTCTCATTCGGAAACCTACTACAAATGATTCGAAGTGCCACCCCTACGCCTGCTGCAGAGCTTTTGCGGCGTCTCGTCGAGGACAACGCCTAAGTCCACGACGATGTCGCCCAGAACGAAGTGTGAGGCAGCGACGACGACGACGACAACGACACGTGCACCGAGTCTTACTCACCGCTCTTAGATCGTAATTTCGAGAGCGGTGGGTCAGACGCTGTGGTCACGCTGACCAACTTCACTCTTACGGAGTTTTATCTGCTGTGGGATCACGTCGAGCCGGAGCTCAAGAGCCGCTGGGGTTCCGGGTGCGGACGCAAATCCGTCACCACCCCGAAGATGCTTTCATGACGCTGATCTGCGTTCTCAAGCACTACAGTACGTGGCAGAAGCAAAAAGCCTCGCAACGGCGAGCTGACGTCGGATGAGCTCGCTCGCAATGCTCGGGTCTCGTCGGATAGAGTGCTAGTGGAGAACGTTTTCGGACGCGTGTGCCTCCTGTGGAAAATCATGCACAGCACGTTCAAGTGAAGCGAGGCGTCGTTCGACTCGTTTGATCGAACGTGCGTTGCGTTAACAAACTTCCATACTGACATCAACCCACTCCGGGCTGGCGATGGCCAGTTCTACCGGTCCGGGATGGGCCGATACGCCTCGATGGCAGAGCGAGAGCGCCCAAGACGTGCATCCAGCGACGCTATCGTTGTCGCCGTGACACACGCTTGGCTGCCGACCAAAAAGTCAGAACGAGGCTGTCGCTCTCGCCAGCGAACTCGCAGTAGGATTTTGAGGAGACTTAGTCAGACAGTAAGCTTAACGAGCTAATTGGTGACACAGTTTAATCGCAAAATATACTGGTGACTGAATAATACCTATCCATTAGAGCACGCCATCGATGAGCTGATAGGTCAATACGGTAACGGGGTACAATCCAGTGTGCCCCAGGTTACATAAAGAGTGACCCGTCACTCTTGTGGACGCCTGGTACACGGTACCAGGTGCTCTCGGAGCCAGCAGAGCATGACTACTTAGTTCCACTATAGGTAACCTCTAGTTTGTATAGAAGCCAAGCTAACCTTACTTATAAATACATCAGTCTTAAATCTACTCTTCTTAGTAGCAAACCGTTCACTTTGAGGCGGGGAACACGTGGACTAACGTTCACTCGGGTAGTTAATACCCTTTAGCACTTCCTCTGTGCAAGGTGCTGTGTGACCCCGTCACACTTGGTAGCACTAGTAGTCAATCCAACACCATCGCGGGTAGATTGAGCTACCTGAATCCTCTGTGCGCTCAACGTTTGAGCCAAGATGGACCGA